TGGCAATGACGACAGCAGTCCCGTCATTCGTTTCCGTCCGGTCTGTCCACACCACTCACACGGGCATTGGACAGGGGTGTGTGTGGATGCATGCTAGGGGCCTGGGTGATTATTGAAGCTGGCTGAGGGAAAGTGACGGCCGTGTCCCGGTCGGTCCGTAGTAAGTAGCGCGGCGGCGACAACAGTCGCTCTTCATGTATACACACACACACACATACGCACTAACGCATGTGCGTAGATAAAATAAAGAGGAAAGAGAGCCACATGGTCGACGAATCCACCTCACCCCGGTGTGTACCGCCAGTGTGCTGGTAGCGATGATTCAGCGGACTTGCATATGCATATACAACCGAGCGCAGGCCACGGTAAGCACAACTAAGGTCGCCGCCATCGGTAGGCGAACTAAGGCCGGGGTTCGCGTCCCGTCAATTCACAAATAATTTACGAGGCAGGGAATCGTAAGTGGCGTGAAACGGCAATAGGACGAATGAAAACGGCCCACAAGGAGAAAATGTGAGATCCCGAACCAGACATCAGAAGAGGGTGGTTGAATGCAGGACTTAAATGCACGGACAAGGTGAGAAAACAATAGGCGAGAACTGCAGCAACCGCCCTCCCCCCCATACAACGGGTGGGAGGGGGCAAGATGGCTGTTCGTTCACACATTGGAAGTGTCTGGGATCAGATCAGGTCAGGTCAGTATTGGAGTACGAAGAATGTGGATGAAAAACCCGGCCAACAAAGATGATCCTACATGAAGGGGAGCGCAACAACGAACAAACCGATCGAAACTACCTTCGCGGCAGTTTGTGAAAACAAAATATCAGTGCATGAAAACCCCTTTCCGATATGAATTTCGACACCTTAGGCTGTGATAGGAACGATCGAGGATATTGCTCCCATTCAGAAAATACATGGACCATTTAATTTGTGAAAATGTTTCTATTTTATTTGTGATGTTTAGTGATTCCTTTGATCACACACGTGCCCGTGGGACTTGCTCGGTCGAATACACATTACGTTCAAAGTGGAAACTGATATTCCAATCTAGGAGGAAGATGTGCATATCCGTGCCGAACGGTTCCTAGTGGATCTATGTACGTCTGTAGATCCTCAGTGTGTACACCGCTACTGCAGTGGGAAACAGATAGTTCTTCCTTTAGAAATCATTGGTAGTTTGCACGTCTAAAATCATGGTCGAAGAAATAGGCCCGGTTGGCCAACACACGATGACATCGGACCGATGTTGTGGGGTTTTACTGTATTTTGTGGAGACTTGCTCCATAGTGGTGTAGTAGCACAATCTTCAAGTTTGGTATGGGTGCACAAATTCGGGATTTGAGTGAACAAAGACTGAAAAACTACAAAAAGGCTTATCAGTCTTGAAGGCCACAGGAGACTACAAGCACTTGATTGATGCCCGGGGTGACCGAGTGCGTCTGCGTATCCGCGCACCTCGGAGAGGTCGGTGAAAAAATCCACAGCAATGACGCTAACAGAAGTAGAGAGAACGGGGTTCGTGAAAAAATTTTTTTCTTTATATCCCATCAGGCGGTTACACATATAAGACGATCGTAGTACAGATATCTGATTGACCGATTACAGCCCAGGCTATAACGATGGCAGAAGCGAGTAAGCAAACGTGATAAGGCTAGCGGTAGTCCGTGCTAGAGTTGTGGAGGGGGTGGGAGGACAAATGTTAAGTGAAATAACGGAACACAGATGGGCTGATTAAATGTTGATGGAAGTTGACAGTTAAGGCGGGAGTGGGATAATGTTACGCATGACGGACTAGAAGCTATACGTCATGCAAAGCATGTGATTTAATTGGGAAGGGACAGTAGAGAAAAAATATTTAACTGTTAAGATTATAGTAGATAATACTGAGTGGGGCGGGTGTCGGGAGGATGGTTTATGCTCTGCTTTATGCACAATCAATCCGCAGTTCACGTCAGGGTAACAACAATGTCAAGACAAGTTTCTCTTTCTTTCGAAATCGATAATGCTAATTGTAACCGTCTCTGCCGTGGCTAAAAGATATCTTCTTATTCCTTTGGCACATCTCCGGGATATAAAGTGAATTATTTTGAAAGTATACATTAGTGACGAGATGGCCGAGAACCGAGTTGCGAATGCACCTAACGGTTTCCTCTGTAGAGGACCACAGTGCTACAAATCCACAAGACAGTGCCAGAAGGAGGATGGTTATTTATTTAAAGAACAGCATCGAACAGGGTAAATGAGGTTGAATAGAACGTAACATCTAATTAGGTTAATGTTCTCGTGATCGTCAACCTGACAGTCTGTTTGTCTCTTTTGTAGCTGCAAAGTTAAATCTCCTAATCTACTCGCGGATTCTGTGGGAATCCAATAACCGCTTCTTGATGAGTGTAAACTACTCACAAATGCGAGTAGCACACCGCAGCAACAACGGACGTAGCTTAGCAATACGTTTTGATAATCACCTGGTCATGTACTCTACGGATCGCATAATTCAAGCACGCACGAGAAGACAAAACGAAGGATTTAGACTGATGAGGCAGCTTATATCTTTTTCGCTGAAACACCAAGGGCCGAGTGGTAGTAAGGATATATGGTTGAACCGAAGCGAACGTTCTAGAGACCATTTTAGATGGACGTTCTTTGAGAATTTCCAGGGCATCATCGCCCTTAAATGGAACAATAATGAAAACGTTCTTCCGAGGAACGACTGGGCCTTTGATTGTGCTGGTCTTCAATCGTGTATGGTCATCAAAAAGGCTTCTCCGGAAACCAGTTGACCGAAGCACGTCATGAATAAAACGTATCTTGGACTGCAATGTATCAGCATGGGGAATCGCGCGCGCTCGGTATGATAAACATCTGATCAGGTTGTTTGTATTTTAGGGAAACAAAGCTACAAAGATGCATAGTGTTCAACCTACCTTGTTTTGCGGAAAACGCTTCTTTGGATGGTACCGTCGTCTCGCTTTGTGAATAACATCTCTATGAAGGGTAGTTGCCAGTTTTTCTCTAATGCACAGGCGAAACAAATAGCCGGATGACACTTATTGAATTCGTCGAAAAGCTATGCGTGATTGATGTGGGAATCATAAACGATAAATGTGTCGTCGAGGTATGTGCAATATACGCTGAAATTTCGAATTGTTCCTTTCAAATTTCCAGTTCTCCGGTTTGGCTAGAAAAATATCTACTAGTATGGGGCCTAGTTGAGACCTCATAGCCACCTCTTCGATTTGTCTGTAGAACTGGTCATTGTACAAAACCTGAATGTTAAATGTACACCTGGGAATCAACTCTTTGAATTTATTTACCGGAACTCCTATGTGAATGTTAGGCACTAAGAAGTCACATGTGGTCAACTATCTCGATTAGAGGTATACTTGTAAACAAGGATCCGACGTCGAAAAACACCACAGTTCTGTTGAGAACATTGACCTTTTCTATCTTCTCTATAAAGCTAAACGCATCCTTCAGACTATATTTGGCTATCCTTTGGCGCACTGGGTCCAGAAGTCTCGCGATCAATCGGGTAATATGGAAAGTTTGACATATCTATTACGAGTCATATCAGGACGTTTGGTTTATGCGCCTTAGTCATTTGGAGCAGAAAGTGAACAATCAGTGAAACAGACCCAGCATACTTGATATGGTAATACAGTCTACTCGTGGAGAGCAACCGAGGCCATGTCATGCGCTTATTAATTGTAGAGAGAAAAATGAATGAATGAGGAATTCCGTCAGGTGGGAAGAGGCAAACACACTGTCCGAATGACAACAAGAACACTCACTTTGACCGGTTGAGGAGGAATCCGGATTGGGACAGGCCGGATAGGGAGATTGTAAGGCGGAGGCTGACACGAATAGACGATAAAGAATGGGTCGATTTAAGGGAAAATATTCACCACGACAAAAATGGTTGCGGAATTACCGAGAACTGTCCGAGATGTATAAAAAAATAATCATCACATTATTTTACATGTGACTGCCGCCCATATAATTGTATTGTATCATAAATGACTTGTGCAGGCAACAATGCCTACATTTCAGTCAAAAATGCGTTCACCGTTACAATGGGATAAAAAATGAAACGAAACTCACGTATAACAATCATAAAACTTAAACAGGTGTTCATCTTTCAAGGTTTAAAGTTAGATCGTTGCAAATCTTCACCCTGTCAATGAGAATACGAGCCAGAAAGGGAGCAAAGGGAGGATAAACAGCGAAAATTGGATCGGGTTGTAGCGTGGGAACGGCTGGCAGATAAGTCGGGATTGGGCGGATGACTGAAGTCATCGAGTACCTTATGAGTGAAATTCTCACATGAAGTGATTTGCAAATTACACAATTTTGTGATCAGAGTGTTCAAAGGAATAAGAGAAATACGTCTGATGATTACTAAATCGCAAAGAAGAGTAATGAAATCCCTTGGAAGCAGTCATGGGGAAATAACTGGCGAACAATAAAGTATGACAGGAAAAATGCATTGATGAACAAAGGAACATAGTTTCATGGCTCACTCGAAATTGTCGTAGCTTGCGTATTTGAAAAGATAAGCGATGCAGCCTATCAACACAAGCAAGCACATGAGAGGACCACCGTAGATTGCTATCTATGGTGACTCCCAGGTATTTGGTGGTGTGTTCTGGTGACGGGTACGGAATTCATGACAGGGGGTTCCAAGGGATAATCGGATCGGGAAAGACTAAAATTGCATTCAAAGCATTTAGAAGTATTCAACCGGAGACCGGATTGATCCGAGTGATTGCACTTGTAGTAAACTGTCGGAAAATGATTCTATGTCCGGTTGGTTTAAAATGGCTTGGCAAAAGACTAAATCATCTGTATACTTAAAGGTCTTGGTTGGTGGGATTGAGGGTAAGTCACTGATGAAAGTTAAAAATAAGAAGGGAGAGGTGCGGCCATCGTATCTTGAACCTGTACAGACGAAATAATTCGTTGTCAGTGGAATTTCGACGAGTTTTAAAAGGATTCGTATTTGCCACGATTCCATGGTTCAACATCAAATAATGACCGAGAAAATTTGCGTGTGAAACAAACTATATAAAACTGTGTGAGCAATACTGGGCTGAGTATATAAAATATGAATGGTTGATCATAAACGGAGGTTACGTCATCAGATTGTTAGTGGATGGCCATGGTAAGACCAATGTTCTTACTAACTGTTTCTGGGCCCACAAGGGGGGGGGGTGGTTGCGGAGACGGATGGCAATCGCCTCGGATAACCTACCCTCCTAAGGGTAGATTATCCAAAGAGGTCAAGTTCAGAATTTTGTCAACTGCCGAGG